TTGTGGTAAAAGTGAACATTTAGAGATCTTTGTAGGAACTTTACATCTTTTATTCTTTTACTACTGCATGGATTACTATACTGAATTTTTATACATACTAGATACACATTCAAAATATTGAATATTTTATACATAGTAAACCTTTGGAAATTTCACCCTAAGCATTGACTGGAATTCAAGGTTCTGTAACCACTGCTTTTGTTACATTGTTTCATATTTCCCTGTCCTTATTTAGAATCTGTGCATATCCATTATTCCTGAGTTTCTTTTTAAAATGTCTGTTTATTCTCATCTACTTGAAAGGAGGAGAGAGTGAGAGGGAAGGAGGGAGAGAAAGACAGAGAGAGAGAGAGAATCTTCCATCTGCTGGTTCACTCCTCAAATACCCACAGCAGCCAGGGCTGGGCCAGACTGAAGCCAGGAGCCTGGGACTCCATCCAAGTCTCCCACGTGGGTGGCAGGGCCCAAGCTTTTGGGCCACCATCAACCGTTGCCTCCCTAGTAGTAGCTTAACCCGCAGCACCACAGTGTCTACCTGTACTATTGATTTTCAGTGAGAAGTTTATGTGAGATCTCACACACACACACACACACACACACACGAAAGTATCCCAGGAGTAAGGGTTTTAAAATAGCTACTCCGTTCTGATGTTTCACCAAAGTGCCCCTCCAGAGTTGCCCCCCGGGGGGGGTGATTCCTGGGACAGCAACCTTGGCACACCGGGAGCCTACTGCAGGGCAGCTGTAGGCCCCAGAGTCAGAATCAGAATCTGCATGTCTTGAAGAACCACCGAGGAAGCAAAGATGGTGTCCAAGGGTCAGCAAACCCAACAGTCGCGGTCAACACTCCCATTTCAGGCCTGTGGGCCGTTCAGTCCCAGCCCTGCAATCGCAGGGCGGAAGCCGTCCTAGATCACACGTAAACAAGTGGGTTCCGCTGTGTGCCTGCTGATTTCTTCATGAAATTTATCTAAAAAATTTAATTTTCACATATCACCAAAAATATCTTCTTTCAATTCTTTTCCTCTGTTTAAATTTGCAGAAACTCTCTCGGCTCACTGTGCACTACCAGATGTGGCTGGTGTGACCTCTGTTCCAGCTACAGCACAGTAACTCTACGTAAGATGATTTTTTTATGCAGAAGCAATGTTATCTGAGAAGCCAAAATCAGGAGTACAATGAGAACGAATTTAGCTTCAATTACCTGAAAGCCATATTAAAGGCAAAAGACAATAAAATAGGACCTTCATGAAAATAAAATATCATTTATTATGCATGAATATAACATAAATATGTAAAGCATGTAATAGGTTCTTATTGTACAGAATATTGAAAAGTATAAAGGAAAGATTTAAAATGTAAATTAAGGTAACCTATTTCCTCAAGATATTTTTACATGCACAGAAACATCTATATATACAATTTTTATTTTTAATTTTCCCAATTAATGCTATTTCATAAGTTTTTGCATGTTGTGGAATGGGCTTCAAAAAAAAAAAACCATGATTTTAAGTGACAGTCTAAACTTCTAGAATAATGAAGTGTCGCATTTTGTTAGACCTTGGTATTTTAAAAGACCACTAAAAACACAGCAAGGAGAGCTGAATTTGGGAATGAATAACGATTACTCAGTTTAACGCTGAACCTTAAAAAAGGAAGCCGGCGTGTCTAATTATGGAGCTCAGAGGTGAGTAAGAGCACCAGTTGAGGAATCACTTCCAGGAAGGGTGGTGTGTGTATGCATCAGGAGACGCTAACTGGAAGCCTTTATCAGGGCAAATAGTGAACATTTAGAAAAGCCCTAATTCTTCTGGCACAAGGCATTTCAAAAAGTTCACGCAGGATGCACAGTATGAGAAAACGATGCATGCACTTCAAATTTTTTTCACTAAAATAAACTTATTTTTTAATTCTGCTTTCCATGCGCCTTTTACAGTGCCCTTGTATGTTCCTGAAATACAAAATAGAAGGAGACATGTCAAGGCAAAGGAAAGCAAATTCAAGTCTGTTGCAGACATAATAATTCAAGACAGTAAGAAATTCATGAGATTATAAGGAATACTGCTAAGATGCTTGTGCGTTTCCTGCATGAAGAAAACCAAAAATGAGTAGTATACGCAGTGCGATCCCTCTCGTCTGAAAATAACAAGATCTCTGGAGGAAAGATGACAGACATAGAGCATTAAATACTAAAACACTGGAATGATGTTTGTGATTGTGTTGCCCACTTGCAGTTCTGGCTGTCCTTCACTGAATGTTCCGAGTGAAAAAGGTGAGGTTCATGTGCTTCTTCCTGTTAGTAAAATAATTTCTAATCTTCCAAGTCAGAGAAGAGAAGAGCCTGATAGTGAAATGATAGTTAAATGGTGATCCATTTTCAATTGTCTAAAGTCCAAAAATGAACAAGTTATAAGCATTTCTTCAAATTCTCTAAATTTGTTGAGAGAGAGGCTGTGTTCCTGTGTGTATGCACATGTGTGTGTTGTTTGTCCTTTTCCCTATTATAAAGTTGTTCCTGGGATTCATGCTAAGGGGGCTGGTTGCCTTGTAGATGAGACATACTTCAATAAAAGATTCTTTAATCACTTGATAAGCTAACATCTTATAATAGTGTCCAATTGTGAATGATGTTGAACAAATGGTGTATAATTATGAATAATTTTATTAAAGAGTGGCGTCTTACTTGTAAAAACCACAAATTAAGTTAGATGCAACTGTAGCAACAACTTGGTTAAGGTTCACCTACAAAAGACAGCAACAAACTCTCTGGGCCAGGTTTTATTTTATTTTTTAAAGATTTATTTGTGAATTAATTTATTTGAAAGGCAGAGCAACAGAGAGGGAAACAGTGAGAGAGACCTTCTGTCCACCAATTCACTCCCCAAATGGCCACAACAGCCAGGCTGAAGCCAGGAGCCTGGAGCTCCACCAAGGCCTCCCAGGGGCAGGGCCCGAGCGCTCGGGCCATCTGCTGCTGCCTTCCCAGGCACATTAACAAGAAGCCAGATTGGAAGTGGCACCGCTGAGAGTCAAACCAGCCTTCAAGCATAAGATGCCAACATGGTAAGGAAAACAAAAAGCTTATTTTTCAGACAGGATTGAGATTATATCAGTATTCATGTCAAATGTAGTTTTAAATGATCATGTTATTTATATTTAGAACAGAACAAGATAAGTTAGCTCGATTCTTTTCTTTCTAAGATTTGTTTGTTAGGCCCATCTTGAACATTATAACACTACAAAAAGTGAAATACAAGTAATTATGCCTAATAGTTTAATTATTAATTGCATCCACTTTATTGAGATATCATTGAAATAATAAAAAATACAAATCTAAAATATGTGATTTATTAAGTATTCACATTGAATACATTCATGAAGCCGTCACTGTCAACAAGGTAGTGAGCACACCTATCATCCCACGAGTATTCTGGATTTCTCTTTTTCAAGCTTATTGATTTCTTTTTTTTAATTTTTTTTTTTTGACAGGCAGAGTGGACAGTGAGAGAGAGAGAGACAGAGAGAAAGGTCTTCCTTTGCCATTGGTTCACCCTCCAATGGCCGCCGCGGCTGGCACACTGCGGCCGGTGCACCGTGCTAATCCGAAGCCAGGAGCCAGGTGCTTCTCCTGGTCTCCCATGGGGTGCAGGGCCCAAGGACTTGGGCCATCCTCCACTGCACTCCCTGGCCACAGCAGAGAGCTGGCCTGGAAGAGGGGCAACCGGGACAGAATCCGGCGCCCCGACCGGGACTAGAACCCTGTGTGCCGGCACCGCAAGGCGGAGGATTAGCCTCTTGAGCCACGGCACCAGCCTCAAGCTTATTGATTTCTAATCATAACAAAGTTTAATCTAATTTTAACTTGAAATCTTGGATGAGTTTTTCATTCTTTCATTCCTTCTGCAGCAAATGCTTATTGTATGCTGAGATGAGCGCATGTCTAAGATTTGAGTGACAGCATCCCCTAAGCAAGAGTATACATTAGCCAGAATGAGTATCGTTTTGGCAACATGTAAAGACTAATTTTTAAATGCCTCTTAATGAATTTTTTAATAAGGTGCAAATCCTTCAAGAACAGCATTTCTGTACGATGCAGATCTTATAAAAATATTCTCCTCTTCAGCAGAGTTTCAGAGCGTTTCTTGCTCCAGGACACTGGACTGCTGCTCTATCGATCGGGAAAAGTCGCTGTCCTTTGTTCTAGGAGGGCGTATTGTCTTTCTGTGAGGTCATTCCTTTCGTAGTGGATTGGAGAGGTGTAGGGTTGCTGGGCTCCCAACCGCACCGCCTCCATCAACCGAAGGGCACTCCAGGACTGACACAGGAGCTAAGCTGTTTAACGCCTGAAGACTCCGATACGCTTCCAGTCACGTGATTTTCAGAGGCACCTGACAAGCAGCAGCCCTTGAGAAAAAATATATTATCTCATCGTTCAAACAACAGAAACAAAAAAACTAACATAAAGGTGTCATGCATACCTTAACACACCCAAAAAACCTGAAACATTGTAACTATCTTAATATGCTCATGTCAATGTAAACACAATATAGAAATGTTAGCTATGGAAGCTTTGAATGTAACCAATCAGCCTTCAAACATTTATCCTACTTAAGCTCCCTTATACTACGTCTCCATCTTACAAATGCTAGAAAATAATGCTCAGGACAGTGAACTATTTTGATCATGAAAGCACCTGGCTACATGGCTTTAAGCCTACAAAACTGTTTTACTCTGAATATAGGTCGGAACATTTTTTTCTGTGCAAAAACATCAGCATAAATGCTTGTAGATAGTTGAAATCCAACAAATTAGTGCTCAGTATTCTAAGCTATAATTAATTATATTCAGTATTCATTTTTCTGTAATTATGTCTTCTTAACTTTTTGTTGCTGATAAAAATTCAGAGTTAACATCACGTAGAAGAACAGATTTCTGAAGGAAGGTGCAGAGGCCGTGAGACAGGAGGCTGCGCAGCCCGCCTGAGGTCTCCGGGCCGGGAGAGGGAGCAGGAGAGGGACAGGGAGACGCAGGACCTCTCAGGCCTGGTTAAGGACCTCAGGGACCACCGTCAGGGTGGAATGTCTATTGTCAGGCAGCAGAAATGCACTCACGGGAAGAGACCTAGACGTTTGCGTTTACTGCCACGACTCGGCTGCTGTCAGGAAAAGCCACAGTGTGGGGCGAGATTACTACCAGAGGGTGTGATGCACCTCCAGGAGACAAATATGGATTTGTTTCAGGGATTTAACTGCTGCATTGGAGGGAAGCTGGCTCATAAGCTCTGGGAGGCTGTGGTCTTCATGCCTGAAGCTGGAATCTGCAATATAGAGAAAGCAGGTGATCAGAGAAGAAAGCCATGGAGTGGGGGAGGAGCTTGCATAAGGAGAGATTGAAGCCAGTGTCAGCTCTGGCTGCCTTTGACCTTGGTGGTGCGGCCGTGGGGCCGACGCTGACACCCTTAGTCTTGGATTTCAGGATGCACAAGTGGCCCAAGAAACAGAGAGACTGAAGGTGGAACAGTCGCAGGCCTGGTGGTTGCCATGCAAACCCACGAACGAGCAACCCAGCCAGGGGTGTGTGTGTGTGTGTGTGTGTGTGTGCAAGAGAGAGCGAGCGAGCGAGCTAGAGAGAGTAAGAGAGAGAGCTCTTTCCCTTCCACCTTCCAGATCTCCCAAGAATCTCTCCCTTTTGACTCCCCCAACCGGAAACAAAGAAGGGAATTGTGCGAAAGGCAGTTCAGGGCTGCCAAGCTGACACGTCGCGAATCCACAGCAGTGGGTGCAGGTAGATGGAGAGCAGAAAACGTTTAGAGGTCAAAGTGCAGAGGTCAGGCGCTCCAAGGCTTCCAGGAGCTTACCCTTCTCCACGACTCCCCAGAGGCAGGACGCGTGGGCTGGGGCGGGACTGTGGGGATCTGTTAGGACAGGAAGTGCTGCTGTGAGAAGCATCGCGACCCTGCAGCAGGCAGCCCTGGGCTCAGCTCTGATCAACAGAAGGTAACTGGTCGTGTTGAACCACCGCGGCGGTGGTGCACTAGGCTCAAGGGACAGTGAGAGGTGAGCCGATGAAGAAAGACAATATTTTTAAGGAATTTAACTATAAATCGGAACTCAGAAATGGGTCTCCAGCTGGAGGATAAGTGAGGTTAGAAGATTTATTTTTAAGATGAAAATGTCACATTTTCCCACAAGGTTGGGGATTAATCAATGGAGAGGAATCAGTTGATCTGTGGGACAGAATTGAACCAATACAAGGAATTATGGGGGAAATGTAAAATACTAGAAGGAATTTTTAACTTGGCCGTTAGCATGAGGGAAATCTATATTTGAATTACATTTATCCCATATCAATGTTGATTTTGTCATAGTTTTTAAAACTATAGAAAACAGCATTCAGGGAATTTTAGCAAATTCGGTAAGTTCTTACCAGGTAACAAGAAACAGATGATATACCATGTTTTTAATAGTGTAAATCTTGTTCCATAGAAAATAATCGGTAAGGTAAACTCTTTTATTTTAAAGCTCACAGAACCCAGGAAATCTTTATTTTTGCCTTTATTTGTAAAACACATAGCTGCTTGTATTCTAGTGCCTCGTAAAGACTGTCAACATGACACACTAATAAACTTTTCTCACTTAACAATGAAAATTTCATTCATTACACTTTTCGTTGACATTCCATTTTGGTTCTTTTCCTTACAGTCATAAGGGATCCACTTTCAGCTCTTCCAGCAATGTATTGAAGTTGGCCACAGTTAACTTTAGACATAGCTCTACACACATACACTAATGTATCCTCGGACACTTGCTAACTGACCAGTCTTACGTAACACAAAGTGAAATCCATGGCGGAAAACATCCTGTCTGCTTCAATCTCTCTTTCTGCTTAGACATCGTTTTATTTTGTTTTTATCATTTGCAAGCAAATAGAAGGAAGATGGGGTTGAAGGCAGCAGCAGTAATATTAGAGATGCCTTTGGTCTGAATCAGACTTGATTAAATTGGGATTTCTCCAAAGTAGCAGATTTTCCACTGAGTTTCCTAAATTCTGATCAATAAAGTTTCATAAGACATATTTTCCTATTTAACACCTTTGTTCCGGCATATCAATGATCATCTTTTCAGAATCTGAAGTTATTTATCAGGAGTTACGTCCTGAACAGAAATCTTCATGCTTCCTTTCCCGTTTCCCTGGCAAGATCCATTCCACCAACCAGGAAGAGGCTATGTTCCGAGCATGGAGTGTTCCATGATCACTTGACAAAACACACTCGATTTTGCCAGAGGAAACAAATCGTGGGCAGCAGGAGGCTCCTTCCTGGAGTTTCCCTGACGGCTGAAGACCTGTAGTACCAGTGCTCACCTCCACACGGTGCTAGTGTTATGTCCTGGGCCTGAATGGCCAGCTAATGCAAAATAACTGCACACACTGCCCAGCACAAGTTACTCCAACGACACACGGAAGCCTCAGACAGACACACTGGACCTGAAACCCAGCCTCGCGCAAAATCTGGCTGGGGTCCAGCAGCAGTGTTGCCAAATCCTTTGTGAACACTGCAGTACAGCTAAACAAAGGTAACACGAAATGATCTGTCTGTTTCATCCCTGGGTCTCACCGTGGCTTCAGCCTCCCCTTCTTTCCTCTCTCTCATGGCAGGTTCTTTGGAACGGTGGTAGGGAAAGGAAGTCCTTGGGGGCACAGGGGCTTCGTGGGACTTCTGCCAGGTTTTGTCTTTGGGCGCTGTGATGCCTTTGAACTCTAAAATTCACTTCCAAAGCCAGAATGTGATTTATCTTGAATATTTTGATTTTCTGTCATGTTCTTCGCAACTTTAAGGCTGGTATTTGTTTCCATTTATTTTAATGTGAAACAGGTATATTCATTGAGCTTGAAGGCAGCTTTATGTGATGTGTAGGATTTTATATCCATCTGCCAATTGTATGACCACTGAGGAGACTATAAAACATTACAAAGCTGTTGGCCTTGTGGCTTAGCCTCTTGCCAACTGTCTAATGGGCAGTTGCGTTCCCTTCACCTAAGTTCTTCCTCTTCTTCCATAATGGGACCCAAGTGTTCTCCTCACTTTGTGCTCATGCATTGCCCATTCTTCCTCCGCAGGCAGAGTGAACAACTGACTGAAGAAGCATTCTAAATAATTAACAGGAAGAAACCATTTTTTATCTCTAAATGTCTTAAGCGCACACAGAGGGGCTTGCCTATAATACACACTCAGTGAAGATTTATTGAATGAATCATGCCATGCCAGCTGGTTTAGGATTGGCGCTGCCAGTGGTAGCTCAAAAATGGTGGAGATTAGAGAGACAACAAAAGAGCCCTCAAAACCTGAAATAAAGGTCAAAAAAGAATGACATGGAATTATCACCTCCCTCCCTCCGTCCTCCCCTTTCCCTCTCCCTTTTCTTTTTTTTCTTAAGCACTTCAGAAACTGACCTTGAAAAGATGAAAATGAGATCAGTCATTTCCAGGGAGAGGAAAGGTATGGGTGGTCTAGAAGTATGGAATGAGATTAAAGAACCCAGTGCACAGACGGCCCCTTCATTGATGTCTACATCAGTGTTTCTACTACAGTGTTTCCTACTGCTCTCATCCTGAAGCCATTGCTTGAGTGGACAGAGCGTAAAATGCCGCCTTTTGCTGAGGTCCATGAGTGGTAACCTTGTTTGAAAACATTGGAATCTCTTGGACTAAATAATATAAACATCAGCAACTATTTGTAAGTGATTTATTACCCTTAAATCCTTTCTTGGAAACGTCTTTCTTCTCCTATAACCATAACTAGAAATATAAGAGTATGTCTCTCTCTGTGTGTGTGTGTGTGTGTAATGTCTAAAAGTAAGAAAGATCAATATTACCTGACAATTTTTCTTAAAATATTTATTTTCTTTGTTACCTCCCACTGCTTTCCCAGGCCATAGCAGAGAGCCGGATTGGAAGTGAAGTAGCTAGGACTCGAACGGGTGCCCATATGGGATCTCAGCACTGCAGATGGTGGCTTTACCTACTACACCACAGTGCCTTCCCCACCTTAAATATGTACTCTTTAATCATCTTGCCTACTATGTTTAGCTTCAGTGTTATGTCTGGTTGCCACGCTAAAGAGTCTAGTCAAAACCCAACAGGCTACAGTGGCCAGTTGGTTCATTGACTAGCCGAATTGCTACCATGTGTGCCGCTGGCCACTCGGCCACCTGAAATCATCTGGTCAGAGCGTGCTCCGCACCTGACACAACCTGGGACTGAGGCTTGGTCTGGAGAGTTCAGTCTGCAGGGTGGTGCTGCCTGCATCAACCGCCTTTGAATGGCTTTTATTCTGAAAGTGCGTATAGCCCTTTATGAACTTCAATTCTGCTATGTCCCTGCTGGTGTGGTATTCTGGAGACCTGTAATGAAATCTTGCCTGAATAATATTTTCCAAAAAGACAAGGGCAACAGTGGGATCACAGGTGGTGGTGCCACATACAGGAGGCACTGTCTTAGGCGGGCTTCCCACACCGGCCTTCAGAGTCTCACCTGTGAGCGGCAGCCCTGTGGCACAGGACCACTTCCTGGGTCTCCCTGGATTACAGATGGACGAACCTCACCTGGTGAGGCCTGCAAATAGGAAACAGCAAACGAGCAGCAATCAGTATCTTCACTCTATAAAAGCAGGATTGATTTGAATGCTACAAATTCAAAATATTAGAAAGTATTAATTATACTATGGAAGTTTCTGTTACATTTTAAATTTGGAACTCTGCCCTCTTTTAGGAATTTTCTGTAACCATAGAGAAGAGGATGAGGAAATCTCCCAGGATCTGCAAATTCAAGGGCTTCTGGGTTAACGACACCTGTCATTTGCCACAGAAAGGGCAGGAGAAACATCACCAGTCCCTCCGTTCAAAATGCCGCCTCTGTTTCTCTTGATTACCTGGGATCTAAGGAACATGAGAAGAAACCTAGTGTCAGTCAAAAACAAGTGTGGAAATTTTTAAGAAGAACACTTTTGTTCACATTTTATGAGCCTTTTTTGTTTTGGGGAGTTGATGGGCAAGTAGAAAAATAAAAGGCCAAGTTGCTGAATTGTTAGCCATCCAAGCGACGGCATCAGAATGGGGTCAGCCGGTCTCTTTCAGGCAGGTGAGCAGACCGGGTCCTGGCCAGCACCGCCAAGAGGGAAGCCGCTCTGCAGGGTCTTCCCAGCTGCTCAGCGCCAGGAGGAAGGTTCTGATCCATCTGGCTGCGCCTCCTGGCCTCCCTGAATGAGGGAATAGTCCAGACTATTTCCATCCCTCAGGAATTCCATGACCAAGAACAGCAGCAGCAAGCAGTGTGGGCTCGCGCACCCCGGGAGCAGCCACAGCGCTCACCATGGTGGGACACCTGCAGCGCTCCAGACCTGAGACCACCAGCGCGGCAAGGCCAGCAGCAGCCGGTGATGCTCGGACGCCAGGACTCCCGCAGAGAAATCCTCTGTTTGGCTCTAAGAGGTCCACCATCACTGCCCCCGTGACACCTTGGTCCCAGTCGTAACGTGCTGTGGGGAGTTCAGCTGGCTCACCTATAGCCTCTATGACGTCATTTTTGAGTATCACGCCCAGTTGGAAAGGCTAAGGCCATTTCCACTCCATGCACAGGGACTCCCTCTGCCTCTTCCTCAGGCTGCCACTATCCGGGTCTTTCCTGGGCTGCATTAGTAACGTCTCCATTTCGGTTTCAGTGACAGATAGGAAGGAACCCAGCACCAGTGGCTTGTTGCTGCCATACATTTGTCCAAGAGCACTTTTCCCAGAGCAGGCGGGTAGAGTGTGCATGTCCGGGGGCAGAGGCGAGGCCATGTTCTGGTAACAGGCAGATCAAGGAGTTTAACCCAAGGGCGTGGCTTCCAGCTCAGAGAAAGGCTGCTGTGGATCTGTTCACCTTTCCAGGGCAACTGTCCCCCATGCGGTGACTTAAGAACCCAAGGTTCTTCCATCCCGCCATTTGCCTTTTCAACAGGGTCCTCCTCCCGTCCTGCCCACAGGACTTAAGAGTGTGATGCCGGCTGGCGCCGCGGCTCACTAGGCTAATCCTCCGCCTGCGGCACCAGCACACCGGGTTCTAGTCCCGGTCAGGGCGCCGGATTCTGTCCCGGTTGCCCCCCTTCCAGGCCAGCTCTCTGCTGTGGGCAGGGAGTGCAGTGGAGGATGGCCCAGGTGCTTGGGCCCTGCACCCCATGGGAGACCAGGATAAGTACCTGGCTCCTGGCTTCAGATCAGCGCAATGCGCTGGCCGCAGCACGTGGGCCGCGGTGGCCACTGGAGGGTGAACCAACGGCAAAAAGGAAGACCTTTCTCTCTTTCTCTCTCTCTCTCCACTCTGCCTGTCAAAAAAAAAAAAAAAAAAAAAAAGAGTAAGAGTGTGATGCCATCTCTTCTCATATTGCTTTGGCCAGACTCAGTCAGATGGTTTCAGGCGACTGCGCAGGGACTGGGAAGGAGTCCCCCATGGTCCCAGGAAGGAGAGAAGGAAGGGCTATTGGTGAGGGTCTTGGTAAAGGCCGTCTCCCACAGTCAGCAAGGCGATTTTACATGGTCTGGGGACAAGCCTTCACAATTCCTTTGAAACTTCAACTAGCACATCAGGCCTGTGACGTCATGCTTTCATTTTATGTAAATTCTAAGTTGAATTTTCGTTGCAGATATGATGCTTTTAAGGCTTAGGAAACATTGTCCTAAAGGAATCTCCATAAAACTCAAATCTTAGTATGCAAGCTTTTAGGCAACCTGGGAACAGCGGTGCATAGGAACCCACTCTTCACTAGTGCCAGGATTTCGCAGCAGATTGTTCTGGAAGCCAGGTGCTCTTGACCAGTGACAGACCCACAGTGGGGGAGCCCTCTTTATGACTTAGCTGCTCCTTGTACAGGATGCAAGGCAGGCCACAGGGGAGGTTTCGGAATGAGATGCTGTACAGTGCAAGCAGTGCCTTCAGGATGGCCATTTTCACCGCACTGAGTTTTCCATCCTGGGTGATGTGGTGCAGACTGGGAACCTGGCTCCTGTCCCGTCCGTTACAGTAGTATCGCCAGACATTGTTTTCTATCCCAACAGCACCCAGTCCACTAAAGCTCTGCACTCAATGTTGGTGGTGAGTCAGGTTTCCCTTTCATTTCCTCTTACATGTTTCCCAAGGGTATCTAGACATTTCTCCCAAGTAGTGCGACCCTGTTGTCCGATTTGTCTATATCAATCTAGGTGTGTATGTAACTTTTTAAAATTAATTTATCAGAGAGAGAGAGAAAAAGAATCTCCCACCCACTGGTTCACTTCCCAAATGATCACAGAACTGGGCCGATCTGCAGCCAGGAGCCAGGAGCTTCTTCCAGGCCTCCCACGCAGGTGCAGGGGCCCACTGCTTTCCCAGGAACATTAACAGGAAGCTGGATCAGAAGCGGAGCAGCTAGGACTCAAACCAGTGCCCATATGGGATGCCAGCGCCGCAGGTGGCTTTCCCGGCAATGCCCCAGCATAGCCACAGCATACTCCTGTGTGTAACCATTAACTGAAGCCTCTTTTACTCACAAGAAAAGCGTCGTTTGGGTGGTAAACCGCACGGTGACCCGCTCCTGAACATTCTTCCTACTCCATTTGACGATGTGAATGATTTATTTGATCCCAAAGACTCCTTGTTCCTAGGTGAGCGGCTAAAGCTGAGGCTCCGGGATAATTCTGGCTGCTTGGTCTTCTTCATATCATTTTCTGGCATCACCTGCATGTCTCCTAGAGGATGCAGAGGAAGGTCGGAGGCTGCAGAGAAGGGGTCACCAGGCTGAGCAAGGGCAGGGGTGAGTAACCCACCCCGCTTTCTCCTGGCCTGTGCTTCCACAGAGCCTTAACCTAACCTGTAGGACAACGGGTGAAGCCACAGCGGAGTCTTGGCATTTGTGACCTGTGTCCCGCCGTGGACATCCACAGCGGGCACCCGTGTCCCAATGAACCAGCTCAGAGCTGCCACAGAGTCCGGACAGGCACGGAACCCTCAGAAGTGGCACTCTGAGGCAGACCTTCGGGCAGCACGGCTACTGCTCCTGCACCCCCAGTAGATAACGCAGCTGCAGCAAGGGGGGGCCAAGGCACAGTGGCTCACGCCGGGTCTGTGCCCCGGCCGGCTGGCGCAAATGCCTACGGAGACCACCCCAGGTTAGAAGTCTCGCAATGCTTCATGTCGCTTTGCTGTTAACTAACGTTTAGGGTTTGTTATCTTTCGTGGACCTTGGAAATCTAATTATTTATAATACCCAGTGACATTTACACTTGGCTAGATATATTCTGCTTGGGCAGGAACGCATCACGCTTCGAGGGCGTGCAGGACGCCTGAAAGGAGGTGGGATTATCTCTAACGCAAAGCACCCGGGCGACTCGCATTCTTTCTTGTGACAAAAACGTGATCTGCAAAACGTCGATTCTCCAAAAGTCTCCTTAGCCGGTAGCAATTAAAATACAGAATAAGGGCAAGATACTGGAACCGACACCGTTGGTTTACCACTTCACCCCCAACCATGAAATGCCAGTTTATGCATCTAAACACATCGCCGACAACTCCAGAGCATTTGGCTGAGAGCAGGGTGACCCCCACCCCCTCCCCGTACCAGGACCCTAAGGGACCGGCGCGCCCCGAGTTCTCCGGGGCCTGGCCGCCAGGGGCCAGGCGGCCGGGCCCGCTCCCTCCCGTGCCGGCCGCCCGCTGGGGCGAGAATCACCCCGAAACGGAACGAGCGCCACTGACGCCTCCCCGCGGGTCCAGGGGTGTCCTCGGAGCAAACCCCTTGGCCCTGGCACAGCCAGGAGACAGCCGGGCGCGTGAACACACACACCGCCCATCAAAGAGTTAAAAGGGACGGTGCTGGGTGGGGGGGTGGGGGGAGTCGCGACTGCGGGTGGGGGCCAGAACCCCCGCGGGGCGCCGGCGGACCGGAGCCGCGGGAGAGCGTCCCTAAGCCCAGTTGCTTCCCCTGGGAGTCGCCCGCGCGCGCCGCACCTTCCCCGCCCGGGCCGGGACGCCCCCGCCCGGCAAGGTGGGGCGGGGGCGGCCGCGAGCGCGGCACGTGGACCGCGGCGCCCGGAGGCGGCGAGGCGCGCTCCTCCCCGCCCGCCCGCCCGAACTTTGCTGCGCGCCCGGGCGCTGACAGACGGCGCCCTGCCGGGGCGCGGCCCCACTCGCTGTTAAATCAGCCCGGGGAAAGGTGACCGGGAACGCGCCGCCGGGCAAGTCGGAGCAGGAGCCGCTGCGGAGCGCGCGCGCGAGCGCCGGGGGCCCCTCGCCCGCACCGCTGCACCCCTGCTCGGACGCCCTCCCGGGAATGCCCCGCAGCAGCCGTCCCGAGGCGGCGGCGCTCCTCCGCGTCCACACGGCCCGGCCGATGGCACCGGGGGGCCGCGCCTCCTGGTGACAGCGCGTTCGCCTTCCACCCAGCCGCCCGCCAGCCGAGTCCGGAGGAAAACTCGCACCTGCCCCGCGGAGCGGCGCGGCTCGCCCGGCGCGCGGGGCGGCATGGCCCGGGCTGCGCGCATCCTCGCCTGGGTCCTGGGGGGCCACCTGCTGGGACTGTGGGCCGGCGGCCACGCGGCGGACGCCCCGCACCCCCGACTGCGTCTGTCACATAAAGGTCAGTGCCTCTCCAGACCCTCTTGCCTATAGCAAATGGGGGACACAGTTTGAAGTCTTTTCTCCTGGGCTCGTTGTGGTCATCAGAGACCCTTAGGGTGCACCTGGGAGACGCTGGTGCCAGACTCCCCCAGAGAGCACCGCGCGTGCTTGCCAAGTCGGGAAACGGTGCGAAATCACACGCTCACTCCGAGGTGGTATTTTTTTTAAGCCTTGTAAATATTAGATTTTATTAATGAGAAGTTCTCTTCTGGTGGACGCGAGAAGGTAGGCGGCAGGTTGTGAGCGGCTGCACGCCCGGGGTAGCAGCTGGCGTTTCGACGTGAATTGATTATCGGGGAGGGCTTTAGAAATGGGGGTGCGATTTGTTTGTGTTCCTGGTTTGCTTTGGTTTTCCAAGTGGGGAGGGGAAGAGGAGACCAGTCCCTTTCTCCCGAGAGAGATGACTGCCTGGCCACCACGACAAAGTGCCCACCATGTAATTAGAACGACTAATTAATATAAATTAGCTTTCCGGTTGCATGGATGATGAGGTTTTTTTTTTTTTAATGCGCGGCTAAACAGCATGCAGAGCGTACTGGCACTCCTGGTAAACTGACTATCTTGATTGTTCAGTGGTCATTAGCATCGGTTTTTTGCATGTAAATTCATGTTGCTTTCCTGAAGACCTGTCTGTCACAGTGTTTTAAATATTTCATGCTGCTCTTTCGTCTTGGAAAGCAACAACACACTCATAAATAAATGAGCTCTGGGCTTTGCATCAGGACCAGTAGGAACCAGTCAGGAACAGGGTTGGTGATTCCTCCTGGGGGTAAACAAGCAAACAGAACCCAAGCTCTGAGAAAGTGCCTCTGCTGACTTAGGAGAAATTTGGAATAAATTATCAGGAAAGGAGCTCTTACTGTCACCAGGCAGTGCGAGAGAGACAACAGGTGCAACAGTGAGGATTAGACAAGGAAACAGTTTTCTGCTGGAAGGTCGTCGGCTGCCCCTCGCCCCTGCCGGACAGAAGTTTGCCTTTTCTCCACGTAGGTGGGATATTTACCACGAGACAAACCGAAAGGGCAGCCTCGGTTTTCTAGGTTGCGTTTGCTGGGTTTTGTCTCTTATTGGACAGTCATCAGTAAATAGTCACTTCAGAAATCTCTCCTTTTTAGAATAAACTGAATATTTTCTTAAATTTTCTGCATCACGGTGGAGTGGATAACAAGCTTAAACTCATTGGCACTAACTTGCTAGAGCATCTGAAATACGGTGCACAGCGTCGGCACGAGTCTTGACTTCGGCAGATGGATCGTGAGATGTATCATGCCGTCATGGTCAAATATTCCTAGATGTAAAACTTGAAGGTGATAGGATATGCACAGAAAGGAATGCCGGGGGTGGAGCATGGGGAAAGCATTGTTTGGCAAATGCATCGTTGGTCTTCTACAGATAAGTTGCCAGCCTGGGCGAGCTCCGTTCTGCCGCGCCTGCTGTTCTCTCCTAGGCGTCATCCCAGGGCCCTGGGTTTTCCATGTGTCCCTGCCACCGTGCTTTTCAAGGGATCTTCTGTTTACGTGCCTTAGGAGAGCTTACCGTGTGTGGGGTGGCACAAGACAATGCTGTGCCTGACAGTGTTGCTGAGTGCGTGTTCACCTGGGGACGGATGTGACGAGTGGTGGCAGGAGGAGAGCTGCTAGCATCTGTGTGGAGACCGCGGGCCCCTCCAGCGTTCCCTTTGGCTTCCTTAACCTTTTGATTTAGCAGAACCAACTGGAAATGCACGAGGTTTGTTTTCATGCAAAGACAGGAAAGAGCGTTCCCTGAAACTGGATTGGTCTCGGGTGTGCAATTGACATAGCAATAGCAGCGGAGAGACCACACCTGACGGCCCACCGGAAGCGGCCAGTGCTTCGTGTTCCACGGGTGCCTCAGCCCCCTTGAAGCAGGCGTGCAGTCCGAGGCCTGCCGTCCCAGGACACCTGGGAACCACCCCTTACCTCGCTGCACCTGGGCCCGCAGACACGTTAGAGGTTTCCAAAAGCTGGGAGTAACGTACTTCACAGTAATCTGCCGTCTTGCGTGGTTTTCAGTGGTGACTTTGGGGTTGTGGGTGAACTTGGACACTTAACACTAGAAGGGAGTGCACAATCGTTCAGAATACGAGCACCAGGTTTGTGTCTCTGCTCCTCTACAGGGGGGCTGACGCCTCCCTCTCCCCGCCAGCAGACAACTTGCATGGGCTCCCTGGAGGTGGCATGACAGCTCAGTCCAGAGGTTCTCTGCATCACAGGGCTCTGTGCCGGATAGGGGAGGGGCAGGCGTTTCCCTCGAATCCTCCACGTCCGAGATAGCGTTTGGGAACACAGGCCCCTCGTGCTTCTTCCCAAGGAGAAGGAGAAAGTTCAAGTGCCAAGGAGCAGGAGCTCAGCGCCGTAACAATATGTGCAGGACACAAGTGTCCAGAGAACTGGCCTCCCCTCTCCTCCACGCTCCTCCATTTCTGGGTGTCGCGCGTTCTGGAGAAGAGACGGGGAGGTGGAAAGGTGGTGGCGTTGGCCACATCTCCCCTCTGCCCTCTTCCCACAGGGCCCAGGCTGCCTTCTGCCTCCTCCCGCTGAATCCCCACCCTGTCCCAGGGTGATGAAAATACGCTAACTCAGGGCGAGCCTTGTGGCTAGAAAGACAGAGGATTCCTCTTGTTGCCATAAGACTCTTGCCTTTTCATGTACTTTACAGCTACAAGATAAACTGAGCTAAAAATTGAAACATAGAAAAGAGGAAAATGTCAAGCTGTCGTCCTGCTCTGTTAAGAATTTTTGGTCAAGGTCTGTGTTGAGGTTAAATGTATCGGGCAAATATTTGAAAGATTATGAGTAGTTGTACGTGAAGGTAAATTAGCTCAGCCGAAGAGGGTATGATTAATGCGAAACTATAACATTCTGCCCCAAAAGTTTCCTTTAAAAGTAGCCGTGGGGAGCCGACATGGTGGTGCAGGGGGATAAGCCGCTGCTTGCAAAGGCAGCCTGCATTTTGCAGCCCCAGTCCCGGCCCAACTGCTACGCTTCCCATCCAGCTCCCTGCTAATGCACGTGGGAAATCGGCAGCTGACATCTCCAGGACGCGAGCCCCTGCCGGCCAGGCGGGGACCCAGGTGCAGTGCTGGGACCCTGGCTTCAGCCTGGTCCAGCCGCAGCTG